CTGGTGGGAGGGGTTCTGTTTCTGGACGTGGTGGATACAAAGGTGGGAGAATTGGACATGGCGGAGGACGCACTGGTATTGGTGCAATGGGGGGAAGGCGTGGTCCACATGGCCGGCATCGAGATGATTTGGATAAGCTTTCCCTTCCAAAACAAGACTTTGGAAACTTGGTGCCCTTTGAAAAGAACTTCTATGCAGAGAGTCCCTCTGTGATGGCGATGACTGAGCAGGAGGTTACAATGTATCGCGCAAGTCGTGAAATTACAGTTCAAGGCCATGATATTCCGAGGCCGATTCGAATGTTCCACGAGGCAACTTTTCCTGGTAATACATTTGTCATAATTGTGTAGATCTGTGACTCTTAACTGCATTTGCATCCGGGGAATCATATTCTGATTGATAAAATAATTGCAATCTATAGCATATTGCCTTGAGACTATTTCAAGGTTGGGCTTTGTTCAGCCGACTCCTATCCAATCACAAGGGTTGCCAATTGCTTTAAAGGGCAGAGATCTGATAGGAATTGCAGAAACAGGTTCTGGAAAAACATTGGCATATCTGCTGCCTGCTTTTGTTCACATCAGTGCACAGCCACAATTGGGTTAGTACTCATCCCACGTTCCCATCTTCGTTTACTGTTTTTAGACTTATTATTACTCTACTGGAGCTATCATTTATGTTATTTACCAAAACAAACTTAGTGCATGGCGATGGTCCCATTGCGCTAGTGTTAGCACCTACAAGAGAACTGGCTGTTCAAATTCAAGAAGAAGCAGTAAAGTTTGGTTCACATGAAAATCTAAGAAGCACGTGTATTTATGGAGGTGCCCCAAAAGGCCCCCAAATACGCGATCTTAAAAGAGGTAGGTACTAAGTCAAATCATAAATATAATATGTATTCCTTTTAGTTTTAGCAATTGTATGACTTGTGATCAGCAAAAATGTTTCAAATTATGTCAGGAGTTGAAATCATCATTGCGACTCCTGGTCGGCTAATAGACATGCTAGACGCTCAACATACAAACTTAAAAAGGGTGACATATCTTGTTCTGGATGAGGCGGATCGAATGTTAGATATGGGATTTGAGCCTCAAATCAGAAAAATTGTTGGCCAGGCATGGATAACATATTATGACTATTGTTTCAATTATTATCATCATTATTTTATGTTTTTCAGTGTATAACAATTTTATTGTTTATATACTACTTCATCCGCTCCCAAATTAGTTTCTTTCTTTTGTTTTTCATCGGTCTCAAATTATCTTCTTATTTCCTTTTGAGGAAAATATTGTGTGATTATCTTCTAATTTCCTTTCTGTATGATCTTTTTATTCCCATTTGTGTGTATAGGTTCACAAGTTTTCCTTGTTCCTTTTTTATCTGTTTATTCGTGAAATCTATGTACATCAAATAAGTTTTTTCCGATTTATCCTATTAAACTCTGCAATTTACATTTTACCAAAATGAAAATGCATGAATTGGTGGCATTGGATGAGGTGATTTTTGATAAATTGTTAAAATCTTGATTAGTTTATCATTCTAATACGTTGGTGTAAACCGTATGATTTGGTCACAAGCTAAACAGATTAAAAGAACAAGAGTAAATCTCAACTATAATTTCATTTTCTTAATAAGTGTGGAAAAAAGCTGATTAAAAGCTAATTTGGGGCCTGAGTGGGTGTAGCACACTAGCACTCTCAAAGTGATGGAAAACATTACATCAACATATCAAGTTATGAAATTTGAAGAACTGCAAAATTTTAGCCGTTTACTAATAAAAATACAAAGCTGACTGATTTGACTCGACCAAACATTACGAATCAAAACCAAATGACTTCTTCAAGATTCTTAAACACCATAAATAACATATGACCACTATCTGGAACTAGAGTTCACTGATACGCAAGTCCAACTCTATACACAAACTTTTATTCAAACTTGAAAACAAAAGTTTAAAAGACAATTTCAAAGAACACTAAAATTCATCACCAAAATGGATGTACGGGCTGCTACCATTTAAAAAAACACTTGCACTGGAGTGCACTCTAAAACTTGTTGAAAGCTCCCTTTAATCTTTCTGCTCAGCAAGTGGATTGGAAATCCCTGGGAGCTTCAACCTGCATTATCTGTTTAGGGAAACAGTCAAACAGGAGGCTACTCTCTCCATCAGACCTCCATTTTCTTGTCATCCACTTTCTTCTCTTAGATAAGATCCTTTACTACTGAATTTTGAGCCTCTGATTATATTTTGTTTTTGCATATATCTCTATCCTCAGTACTCTTTGAAGTCGCTTCCCACTCCTGCTTAGTCATTTTTCAGGTCTCCCACCTATTCCCATTTCTTACCCACTCACAAACCAGTCACTTTCCTAGTTGTTTGCTTGCATGTCAACAAGTTCTTAGCAACGGTCGCGAAGCTATACTAGTGGGTTGTGAACTTTGCGGTCCTGTTGTAATGTTGTAATCATAGTATCATGTCGTCGCCTAGGCGTCCAGGTGCCCTCCTGATCTCGCCTTGGTGATTCGACTTGCCTAATTCTCAATTCCTCGCCTAGGCGTCGATTTTCCGATGACTTGTCGACCGTCATCCAGGTGCAGCGCCTTGGTTGACTAGAACAGTAGAACCGTGAACATGGTAGTCAAACCCGCGATCTGGATCATCCGATTCTATGATACAGCAGATCAACCAAGGGTTTGCGATCTGAATCACAAAGAAAATTGAGAATCTCAGTGACTCGCCTGATCGACGATTAAGACCGTAAGATCTTCTTGGATTGCGAATAGACAGAAATGAAATTCAGATGCTAAAGACAGCTGGACCATCCAGGCGATAGTCTACCCGATAACCCGGCCCTTTAGTTTTGACAGAATTCCCTGCGACTCAGCACTCTTCCCATACGAGTTGTATTTTCAGCTTCTCTTTATTTAAAAGATTACTTTGTATTTTCCTTAAAAAAGCTCTGTATGTGTTATGTTTTACAATGTATTTGCTTTAATTAAAAGATGTCTTCTATTGGTGTTTCATATTCTTTTTTTATTTTCTATTTTTGAAAAAAACATATAATATAATATAATGTAAAATATAGAATACTATATATATTAGTATTACTTGTCGCCTAATTGTCGCCTAGGCGTCTAGGCGTCATAGCGATACCTTGGTGCCGTGCCTCGCCTTGGCGCCGTGACAACTATGGTTGTCATGTGTTCCATATGAGCAAGATTTTTGAGCAAGCACTCTAACTAAAGACCCACAGGGGATGACACATTGTAATTCCAACACATTCTGGGATTGAAGCTACAACCAGGGTCTGACACTCCTAGGCGTTTGATGACTGTGACTTTGGGGTTGATTGAAGATTTGGACCAAAATGTATCTACGTTGCTTTTTGTGAGTGTGCCTGAAAACCTAGCTGATCGTGGATGTCCTTGTAAACCTTCGCGTTTCCCTTTTCAATGTTCCCGTCTAAAAGCGTCAGTAATGTGCTTTCCTCCTCTTTTTGTTTTCGGATCTGGCAATTTTAATTTAACATATTGGGTTGAGATATTTGATGAGGATTTTTAGTCACAACTTTTGCTTGAGTTGCCACATATGGTGCGCCCCTGATTGCCTGAATTTTCTGTGCCAGAATCTCTGAAGCAATTAACAAGTATGGACAATGTGAAATAGATTTAATGTTGTTGAACAAAAGTGAGCATAGATTGTCCGGCTAAAGCTGGTATCATAAACTAAGCTACCAATGGCTAATTCTTTAAATGACAGTAATTGTGAGCCTTATAATGATCAGACATTCAATAAGCAGCTTTGAATGCTTCATCTCTTATGATATGTGCACACTCACACACACATACACACACACACAAACCGTACATATTTAAACCTGTTTCATGTACATTTTTTTTTTGAATTTCTGGACTTGGTTGAAGTATGGAGTATTGTCCTATAAATGCAGATTCGGCCGGATAGACAAACATTGTATTGGAGTGCAACATGGCCAAAGGAGGTTGAAATTTTGGCAAAGCAGTTTCTACATGATCCTTGCAAGGTTTTGACTCACTATTTTACTTTGCTCGTGTTGCTATTGGTAACTTTTATTTGGCTGATATTAAACTTTTAGGTAGTCATTGGGTCCCAAGATTTGAAAGCAAATCAATCTATAAAGCAAGTCGTTGAAGTTGTTTCAGATTTAGAGAAGTACAACAGGTATTATTCGATATAATCAAGGTTACACATTTATCTACTAAAAAGTGATGAGGTCTGCTTTGTGATTTTTAATATCTTTCTTCATATATATTGAATTTCCCATTGCACACGCACGCAGGTTAAGTGGACTTTTGAAAGAAGTGATGGATGGAAGCAGAATTCTAATATTTGTTGGGACAAAGAAAGGGTGTGATCATATTACGAGACAATTAAGAATGGATGGATGGCCTGCTTTATCTATCCATGGTGATAAAAACCAGGACGAACGGGACTGGGTTTTGACTGAATTTAGAAGCGGCAGAAGTCCTATAATGATTGCCACTGATGTTGCTGCACGTGGTCTTGGTAGGGTTGTGAATGCTTAGAATTAGGAATGTAACTAGTGTTCGATTGTAGGTCCTTGACACAATACCTAGAAAAGTCTCCGGCTGTTCTCTTCCTTGTGGCTATAAGCTGTGGTTTGGGTAAAGATAGTTACCTACATAGGAGTTTCTGGCTGTTTTCTGCTTTCCTGAGGCTATACTCTGTGGTTTGGGTAAAAATAATCGAGACTATTCTCGCTTGTGTGAACCTGAAATACATTATTTCATGAGTAGATTCTAGAGAAGGTTAACACAAGTTCAACTCTCTCAGAAATCAACATTGCCTGAATCTGCTAAAGATTGAAGGATTTAATAATATTCTTGCTGCCTTCTCGTTACAAAAATGTTGCTGTAGCAACCCACACATCTACAGCCTAAGTTACTGCCATAGACTCCCCGACTAGCAGTGTTTTATGGTGGAACAGCACCCATTGTTTTGGTTAGATTTCTGTGAGCACTATTTAAACAATGCCCGTACTCAAACACAATCCCGCGATTTTCCATCTCAATGGTGAAGCCCAACTGTGGTACTGTCAAGTCACGTGTGACGCGCCCCTGTTAACGCGGCTGCAATTTCAGCATTCTCTCAAGATTCTTATAGGAATTCTACTTTGTACTTCTTTTGGGGATTTTTGCCAACGTAAAAAAGTGGTCACACCACATCAATGCCTACGACTCAAACTCCCTGAACTCTCATTGGCACACAGATCCTATGTCTGGGACTCTTGGAGGATAATCAAGTTGACCTCTCTACTGCAGGACATGACGAGCTCCTTTGCGTCAATATAGTATGTGTCCATCCCACTACTGTCTGCGAAGCCATAATTTGTGCACAGGATTTTTCCCACTGACCAGAATGTAGCACAAAGCTCATTCCATGGCATCATGGGACCAAGCACTGGGCGTATGATGCACATAATAGTCACAATTGCTGGGAACCAGTGTTAGTACTTGTGGATTCCAGCTACTGATACAAGTTGATTCACGCAGAGACTGCCCATGCCCTAAAATACAACTACCTACTTGTCCCCAACCATTGGGGATTAGCCGACAAATAAGTGCTGGGCCTTGCGAGAATTTAGCAATCTGCCTACTCTGCCATGGTCATATGATCACCGATTTATCCTCACCACCAAAAGTGATCACACGTTCCCATTTTTTTTCATATAAACAAGATAGCACGTGCCCATTTTTTGTTGAGTATTTGAGTTGAATGTTCCCGAACTTGAAACACGAAATCCTTAACCCTGTCATAGACAAGCTATTGCACTAACTACATGCGGCACAATTCATCACCAAGCTTTATTCGTGGTCGGGCTATCTTCAATCTGCATTTACCTGGTTGACATTTGTTTTTATAGATGTTTCATTTAGGACTACGACTTTTAAGTAGGCCTGCTTGCCAAAATGCTTCACAAAAAACCTGTTTCCTGCACACCTGAGGCCATAATCACAGGTCAATGCAAAGTGAGGGCAACTTACCTTTTTTGCCTTGTCTTCGACTGAAGTACTCTCAGCCGATTTAACCTTTGTTGGCACTGTTTTGCAACATGATTGCCCTCATTAGGCAATCAGTTGGTGCGTAGACACCATAAACTGCCAATCTTCGAAAGGAAATTGATAGGCTTAGCACGTGCAGCCTCATTGGCGCCATCACTTGTGGGGTCACAGTTTCGTCATCCCCAACAACCATTTGTATGGAATGATCTCTCCATTTATGCTTCACTACCTCATCACAACATATCATCAGCTAATTAATGAGTTTTGACTTTATTGTTGAGTACAAGCTATGCATATTGAATACCATTGCAGATGCCCTATCTTAATATCACTCTCCTATTGTGTGCTCACCTCTTTTAGATACCATCCACTACGAGATATAACATTCCACAGTTTTCATGCCTTATCTTTAAAACCTTAGATTACCCTGTTGGGTGATGTGTGATGAACTCTTTCTCCTCAGCAACAAGTTTTTGATTCTCCCACCTCTACCTTAATTTCTTAAACACTGCATATACATGATTTCCATCAAAAGGGCTTTCAGAAAACTACTCACCGTTTGGGTGACTTCTCTTGGCCTAGAACAAGACGCGGGATTTTGTGGTCGAATGGAGAATGTGCAATACACAAACAGAATATGTGGAAGAGTATGAGTTTTTCTGGGTGCCCGGGTAGCTCCAACCATCCAACCTTTATCCATATAAATGTGTATATTGAACGGTTTCATTGAAGGCCTTCCTTCTCTAGTTCATTGAAAAAATTGCTCATTTTTTCATTATTAGGCTCTCCAAGTGTTCTCATTTCATAGCATTGATCCATCCCTGTTCTGCTGCCTCAGTGGGGCAACTATTATTTTTTAATATTTTCAAACTCAATGGCATCCCTGAAACTAATGTGACTGATGCAATTTTTGCAATCTCCTTTTAGAAAGAACTATTTACTCTTAGTGGGCTCCAAGGTAAATCTTCATCCTACCAGCCACAAACAGATGAGCAGAAAAAGGTGGTGATTCACACACCATTAGCATGTATTTGTGTTGCTTAGTTCGTGATGATGACAGATGACCCCTGTAGATCGGTACCATCTTTGGCATGTATGGAAATTTCTATAATACATCCTTCTATACCACTCTTTGAATTGCCACTTTCCATTATTCTATGAAAGCTTTCCATGGCTCCACACACCTACTCTTCCTTGAACGTTGCCTTGCTAAAATGGATGCAATAGATGTTGTTGGCCATGTGTGCAGCAATTGTCCCGTGGCGGAGGCTATGTGGGTCAAGTCACAATCGAATGTCGTGGGCGCTTGTGTGTTGAATGCACTATAAGGCTAGGGTATGCGCCTCTTCTAACACCAATTGGTTTTAGAAGAGTTGGTAGCGCCTGAGGTCCTACAAGTGGTATCAGAGCCAAGGTCACGAGTTCGATTCCCAGCGGGAGCAATTGCTGAGGGGGAGATTGTTGACCATGTGTGCAGCAATTGTCCCGTGGCGGAGGCTATGTGGGTCAAGTCACAGTCAAATGTCGTGGGCGCTTGTGTGTTGAATGCACTATAAGGCTAGGGTATGCGCCTCTTCTAACACCAATTGGTTTTAGAAGAGTTGGTAGCGTCTGAGGTCCTACAGATGCAACACTGAAGACTAGATAAAATCCTCAGTGATGCACACTACCATCTCAAATTAGCTCAATCACGCATGGATCAGACTTATAATCGCATCCACTTCATTAGTTACGAAATTGGCTAATGGATTTAGGTTAACTTGACACCTTAGTGCAAGCATTAGTAATACAGTGTCACTCCCATAAGCGCCCACCCTTGTTTGGGTCATTCTAAATTTTGTAATACATTGGCAAGGAGTGCCTACAGAGTAGACCTTCCGACCAGCATGGAAGATCATGATGTTCACATTCCAAGCTCAACAAGCACAAAGGGGTCAGTTTCCACATGCTGTGAGTCCATTCCCACTTGCTGTAGCGTTATGCCACAGTTGACCGCTGTGCTTAAATCCCACGTTAACAGGGGTACAGCTAATGGTCGCTTGGGAGGGTCTCCCCGCGTTGAGGAATTCCCTTGAGAGACTCTAGAAGGCTGCTGCACTTGTTTTCACACCATCAAACTTGTTTCCCAATTCTTTGAGGGATGTGGGGATGCAGAACACTATTCCTTGATGTACAACACGATTGTTCGTATATTAGTTATTTGACTATTTCCTACTTTCTCATTACTGTCTTTTGTTACAGTTGGCATTACTAGTTTTTCTGATCTTAGTAGGATTCGTGCAATTTGGGGGGGGGGGGGGTCCAGATGTATGATTAAAACAGAAAGGCTATTACGTTAGCCCCTTGATGCAGTATTGCATTCACTGCCCAAAACTTCATAGAAGAATCAAGCCAAGTTTTTTGTGCTCTTTTGAATTAGTCCACTATATACCTAAAGCTAAAATGTTGTAAAGACTCTTTTAGCACCATTGTCAATGAATGCATTGTGTAAGATGGATCGGTTAGAGTTATTCAATATGAGTTACTTGTTTTTGGCTTTGGTGAGCAGAAAAGCTTACTAACATCCATCTGTCCTTTCCTCTTTTGCCCTAACACATCCTTGATGTAGAATCAGAAAATTTCATTATATTGCATTAGATGTTTTCAATCCAAATTGAAAATTTTCCAAAGACGAGTATAGTAAATATGAGTGGAAATTGGGCTTCACTATGTCATTGACTTTGTCAACAACAATTCCAGTATAATCCCAACTCTGTTGGGGACTTGGTGGTCAAGACGCAAGTTACCTTTGTTTAAACATACTCTTTTCATTAGACTCTCGATGCGTTGCTTACATTTTCTACCCAAAAGCTCATAAAAAGTAAGAAGCAAAGGGATTGTAACTTGCCAATCTAATATACTATATTACTTACATCTTGCAAAACCATTGTCGATATTGATTCTTGTAGTTTCATTGGATTGGGAGACTGGGCCACAATGTCTCATTGACTTTGTCGTGTTGGTGAAAGGTCATTGCTCATTCTTTCAAGATTTGTTTATTTGTTCATTTCTCTGCGCGACAAGGAACAAGGGGTTAGAGTAAATGTTCTGTGCTGAACCAAGAGGTTTATCCATGGAATATATTTTTGAAAATTTATTTATTTATTTCCCTAAATTTGATTCACTTTCCCCAGAAATTGTATGGGTTTCAGTTATTGTCCCTAAGATTCCAAACATTCCTGCGGGTAATGCTGCCCATCCACACAGTTAACAAGCTGATTGTCGTGACAGCCCGGATGACTTGCAACATTATTTACTGATTCATTATTTCATTTTGGGAGTTATGATGGTGGAGCTGCTCCTTATCCCTGCAAGGTTAAGGTGGGCACAATGTGTATGCGGAATGCGTTATATTACACTTAATCACTGATAGTGCAGGGATAAGGAAGGGAGTTTAGTTATCGTCAATGTCTTCATGACGGGCGCTTTTGAATTTAATTATAATTATAATTTTTATGTATGCAGATGTGAAGGGTATAAAATTTGTAATCAATTATGATTTTCCTACATGCCTTGAAGATTATGTTCATAGGATAGGAAGAACTGGTCGTGCTGGTGCCAAGGGAACTGCGTTTACATTTTTTACCCAGGGGAATGCAAAGTTCGCTAGAGAGCTTGTTAAGATCCTTCAACAAGCAGAACAAATTATTCCTCCTCAGTTGGCTGCAATGGCACATTCAGGTAGTCTCAGCTTTGGAGGTATGTTGTGCACTCCGTTTAGTGTTTTTCCGGCATTGTTGTGTATGTCATGAATGCTAATGAGTCATGGGGCTAAGTGGAAGGGTTATTTTATCTCTCAGCTACAGGCAGCAGCTTTCGCTCTAGAGGACGGGGAGGCTTTGGGAACCAACGCTCGGTTTCTGGATCTAATTCAATTCCAATTGGTGCAAGGAAGCAATGGTAGTTTTATGCAGGGCCCCTATACATGTTTTGTTGTACACTTGGTGTAGTTCTAGATATCCTTATGGCTTACTGACCATGTGAAATAACCTCAAAACTGAATTCTTTTATATTAAATGGGGGGATCTAATGCCGAATTGACATTGTTATTGATCTCTAGATTTAAAAGTTTGTACAACTTTATACGGCAATTGAGCATTTTCTTTGTGTTATAGCTACATTTTGCTAGGTTCTTTTGATATTAGAACCTAATACGGAGTATCATATTATGACATTGGGCAATTAAGGTGGATCGTTTGTAAAATCAATAGTTTTTATCCCCTTATCTCTCCTAATCCCGGTGCATGAATAATTTGTGCAAATCATGATTTATAATACCCCATCTGTCCCGAAAAATATTCTCACTTTTACTATTCATTTGTCCCAAAAAATATTTTTAATTTTAATTAAAATCTTTCGTTTAACTCTGCTAATTATGAACTTGCCTATCACAATATATATCTATTCAATATTAATCTATATATCGCATCTAATCTTACCTTACGAGTATAAAGTAAAAGCAAAATTAGAAAGTTACAACAAAGTTATGCATTTTTGAAATTTTACTTTTTTTCCTAAGTAGAAAAGATTTTACGAGAAGAAAGTCAATTTGGAATTAGAAAATTTTGCACTTGGTTGGATGAAACCGAGTTTATGACCTTGTGCTTGAATAGACGAGTCTGCCAAGAGGGTTTGGCTTGGTCCTGTGATAGACGGCCTTTGTTTACCTAACTTATTCAAAATGTATAAGACGTTTTTCTTGTCAATAGGAAATACTCCCTCCATCCCCATAGATCTTTCTAATAGCTCTTTTTTTTCTACAATAGATCTTCTCATTTCATTTTTTAACAATTAAAATACCACAACTACCCACACTTACTTTATTTATTACATCTCACCCACCTTATATAATACATTCCACCCATTTTCATTAAGGGTATTATAATAAACTTTCACCTTTTTTTCAACTCTCCTTAAAAACCACCAAAAGTCAAAATGAGATCTTAGGGGGACGGAGGGAGTAACTTACCTTTCTTATTCTGTTGCTTCTTTAGCTGTTATTCTACTATAGTTAGAATTTCTCTTTGTATTTCGTATTTATAGGGATGCAACCTTTATCATTGAGTTTGAAATATTATATTAAATTATATATATAGGCAGAGGCGGATCCAGGAATCGAGAAACATGGAGTCCCATTTCATAAATTATGAACATATATTTATACTACGTGACTATTCTCATGCTATAAAAAATCTACTATTTAAATGAACATTCAAAATATGATTCTCAAATGGAATTTTGTGAAGTACATGAAGAAAAAATTGAGCTCAATAAGAAGAACAAAAAATAGTAGGGGTCCCAGGACCCCGTGGGACTTAATGTGGGTCCGCCTCTGTATATAGGGATGTCACGATATGTGAGCTTTGACTTAGGTCAGATGACACCTTAAGGTGAGACATGGGCGGATCCACACTATATCTAATGGGGGCACTTGCCCCCAATGAAATTTTGTTTTTATTTAATTACTCCCTCCGTCCTAATTTATAGTGCCTGTTCACAGGGCCAAAATTCATTCACTTTCTTTCTCTATTTTCATTAGCAATTTGATAAAATAAAGTATTATTGTCACTACTAGTTTTGTAGATCTTTTGATATAATATTTTGATATGTAATTTTCATTTTTTAACTCTATACCATTTGTCATATAAAATGATTTGAAAATAATTTCAGTCAAACATCGTAAACCGAAATAGGCACTATAAATTGGGACGTAGGGAGTAATACATTAATATTTTCCTAAAAATTAATACTGCCCCCAATGAAAAAAATTATTTGCCCCAATGAAAAAAATTTCAAATATAAAAATGAATTATTTCAACTTTTTTGAAATGAACAAATTATTTAAACTAAAAATAAAAGAATTACAAAGTGAAAATTAAACTATAATATTAACTAGAAGATAATTCGAAAAATAAAAATTACAAGAGAAAGTAAAATTATAGAGGATATTTTTGAGATTTTTCAATTCTCATTAATCATTTGAATGTTTTATTAAAACAATATTTTTTTTTAAATTTACTTTGATTTTAAAAAACGGGAGCGCTACCCTCGAACTTTCGTACTACTCTTGCCTCCAGTCGCTCCAAATATTGGAACCGCCATTGCGGTGAGATGACATGCTTCGGTGAGATAACACCAAACTCACCACAATATAGTGCATTTAGACATGTGCAAACAAGGGTCGGCCCGTTCGGCCCGCCCAGCCCGCCCTTTAAAAAGGGCGGATATGGACAACCTTCAATACCCAAATGGGCGGACCGGCCCAAGCCCGAATTGTATATGGGCGGATCTGGAAGTTACTTTTAGCCCATCTGGGCCAACAGGCCCGCCCATATTCATGAAATATATTTACTTTATTATTAATTACCTAGCCAATATAAATTTTAAATTTTTCTATAATTCATGTATAATAGTTTAATTCACTCACCTCTTTTTTTAAAAAATCAATACTCTTTTAATGAATGAGTATGATGGGTTTATTAATTATGCAACAATATCTCTATTATGCTTTCTATATTAATGTGGTGACTGGTTATTTTATTTTAAACATTAAAAAAGAGTTCAATGTTTTTTTTAAATTTTTTGTACAAAAAAAAAAATTCTTGATTTTTATCCGAGCCGTGCAACCCGGTGGCAGCCTGGCCCGCAAAGATGGGCGGGTATGGGTAAAGAATTTAGCCCATCAAATCCGGGCCGGGCAGGCCCGCCCATGTAAATGGGCTAATGATTTATATCAAACCCGGCCCAGATCCGGCCCGGATCCTTATTTGCACAGGTCTAAGTGCAAAGATCACCTTGAAATAAAGCAAAGCTCACCACTTTAAACACTAAAACTTACCATTTTTAAAAATTTTAAAAATTAAAAAATTAATTAAAAACAAAATAGCATTCGGGCTAGTCATCAGTGGCGTCCGGCAACCGGCGGTGGCCGGCAGCGGTGCGACAGGGGGGCTGACTACGGAAGGGCGACGACCACGTCCGGTGACCGACGACAGCAGGCGGCGGCATGTGGCGGTGGTGGCAGGCGTAGCAGTAGGCGGCTGTCAACGGTCAAAATCTAGTCAGCATTCTTTCCTTTGTTTTTAATTTTTTTTTTCAAAAAAATTCAAAGTGTTAAAAAAATATGGTGAGCTTATCCTTACATTTTGGTGAGCTTTGTAGTTGTGCTTGATGAGCTTTGCAGTGGCCAGTGGTGAGCTTTGCGTCATCTGACCGTAGCATGTCATCTCACTGTACGGTGTCATCTAACTCGAGTCGATTCTATATATATATATATATATATATATATATATATATATATATATATATATATATATATATATATATATATATATATATAGCCGGTTCCGGTGAGAAGGACCCTTGGTGAAAGAAAAGAGAATAGATGATGACCATTGGATCTATTGCATCTGACGGCTCAAGATTTAAAAAGTGTGGCAATTAGCATCAATATTTTTATGGAAGGTAATAAATACTGTCCAATTAAACTGGTAGAAATTGAGGTGCAAGGGTAAATTAGTACAATAGGGATGCTCTATAATAGGTAATGACTAAAAGCCTCAACAATCGCATCTAAAAGTCTCAAGCGGTATCACCTTTGCGCCAAACTTCTAAGCGACGCCGCCCAAATCGACCCTCTTCTTCATCGACAAAACCTAATAGAGCGACTAAAGACGAAGTTGCACCATCTGAGAAGAAGTTGAGATGAAAATTCTGCAAATACATGTACAAATATATGATAAATATTTCATTTTTTATGGGGGATGCTTGTGAAACAAATGTTGAAGGAACACTAAATATATTATTCGTGCTGAAGCTATGTTCGTGGGTTTGTAGAATTGGCGGTTTTTTATTAAGCATTTTGGTGATATTACGATTTAAGGTTTCATTTTTTAATTAATTGTGGCACTTTGATTTATATTATGTAAATAGCTAATCATTAGAGTTTTCTACATTTGAAGTAATTTGCATTTACATATTTTTAAGTGCATATGTTTGGATGGTGTGCATTATCGGGAGCTATAAGTGCATTGTTTATAACCCCTAATTGCATAATTTTTTGGCTGAAAATATGCCATGACAGAGAGTGCATATACTTTTTTAACTTGAATTTTGGGAGTAATTGTACAAAATAATATCAATTTTTTGTCTAGGAACTAATAATAATGAATTTGGTAAATAGTTTAGGAATGCATCTTGGCATGAACATATTTTTTTGCACACTAGTGTTTACTTATGACTCATAGGCTACTCGAAATGTTCCTTAGTTAATTCATAATGCATTTTTAGTCATGCTTTATAAATTTTATGAAAAGCACTTACATTCCCTTATATTTTTTTTACATTGTGTTATGTTTTAGATAACGAAGATCAGGATATGCATTGTGTATATGTGTTTTTGCACTGTGTTTTGAATAGAAGTGCATATAGTGAAACTAGTAGGACATGTTTATGATTCAGATTTTTAATCAACATCGTTGCACTCTAATGCATACCAATCTTATAGATTCAGAAATTATGTATGAATGATGAATGTTAACATCCTTATATATATATGATGCAGGTTGGATGGGAAGATATGCATTGTAAAAGGAAAAAAATAATACACAGCGGCCTCCATTACTTTGAAAGAAGCATGATATGATAGCATCTTCTGTTCATAAAAGTAGTTGGATTAGGATCACGTAAATGAAAAATGCAACAAAGGAGGTGCAGAACATGTTGACATAGAGTACGAAGTCAAAAAAGATATTTGAGACGCCAGGGATAAAAGACTACATGGTTAAGCGAAACTATAATGAAGTCAATTCCACGACAATATGATTTTTGTGAACACTATTTCTTGAAACCTTATATTTAAATTTGAATTTATTTAAAACTTGTATTTGAATGAGACTCAAACACAATTCAGAGTATTCATTTGGGAAAAATTGTGTTTATTTCTACAGTTTTAATGAAATGGTGTGTTACATTATAAAAAATAAGACTCAAACACAATTCAGAGTATTTGAATGAGACTCAAACACAATTCAGAGTATCCACTTCTGATTTATATGTATCATGGTCTTGTACAGATGCACTCTCTTCTTATTTCATTACATTATAAAAATGCTTTAATCTATCAAAGTTTAACATTTAGAATGAAAATTAATAAATGTTAAAAAATAATTCATGTTCCAAAAGAGGAGGTTAAAGTTTAAGGAAGATAAAAAATGTCTCCAT